CCAAGTGTCTGAATCATGTTTTAAAATAATAAATAGCCTCTGTACGGGAACAGCCACCTAAGAACTCTTTGCTTGCACTTTTTTTAATGCTCCTTATGCTTCTGGTTTCCTCCCGGGCTTGAAAATGAAACTGTTATTGCTTAGTTTCACTTTCAGCTTTCCCACTGCTCTTCTGCGGTAGCGAATGTTACAAGCCAAGAGCGCATCTGGAAAAACGTATTGACTGCTATGGATGACTTAATGTCCCTACTTGAACACAGACTCTCATTTTTTTCTGGGAGATGCTATAGTCTTTGCATCCCCCAGTATGTCTCTTCCTTTCTCTTCCTTTCTCTTCCTTTCTCTTCCTTTCTCTTCCTTTCTCTTCCTTTCTCTTCCTTTCTCTTCCTTTCATCACCAGCTTCTCATTTGCACAAAAGGTAGTGATGTGTAACCCAGCATCATGTTTGCACACCTGCACAGAAATGAATTACAAGTTTCAATTCTGAAAACTCGTTTACTATTTTTACACTGGTGAGTAACTCCAGTGATGTTTATGAAGGCCACTCAGCCTGCATTTATGTCTGAAGCTGCACAGGCAAGTGTTCACAGGATCACAGCCTCGGAGAACGACCTCATTCTTTCACCTTATTCTACAAGCTACTTAAAAGCTTGAGAAGTTTTTACTTCCATTACAGCAAAATCAAAGCTGAAAGTTGTTACGAGCAGATACTGACTTTGGTTAAGTGCCCAAACATTTGTTTGCATTTCATGGTGCATCTCTGAGGATCCAATGGGAAAAACACTGTGTATTGCACACAGTAAGACACTGGTTAGTATAAAGGCAAAAAATACTTCTGCTGAAGTTCCTCCTTGAATCCTCAAGAGCACAGCTGCCTTACTGTCTCTTTTTTCCCCCCTTTTTACCTTGCTGCTCAGTAGATGATAACCAGAACAGTGTCTACCAGCCTGTGGCTACGGATACAGTTACTATAGCAACATTTACAAACACTAATTTCACTACACATGCAGAACTACTGCCTGCTACTGCAGAGAAGAAGCTTAGAAAGAAATCACTCTGTAAGTGCAAATAGGTAAGTCTTTTTTTTTAGCTTTAAGCCTGATTTAAATCATTGTTCTCATTCTACCTTTGTGCAAATATATTGTTTAAAAAAAAAACAAAAACAAAACTTGACTTTGCCTGAACCTCCTCCAGTGACAGGTAAAATACTACATTCACAATTTTGGCAAGAACAAGGAATGAAAAGATCATTTGCTGACTGGAAACATGGGATTATAACTTGGGCTATGTTAACTTGTGGTGGCTTCAGTGAATATAATTTGGCCATGACAGGTCGCACAGGAAAACAGAAAAAAAATTATGCTTTGACGTGTGAGTATATAGATGTCATTCTTGGGTTCATATTTCCAAGCTGTTCTTTTCTGTTGCCTGAATTCACAAGCAAGTACATATTAATTTTCTAATTGTGATGCGTGTATAACTCCATTTGAGCACAACAGAGTCGCTCTGTTGCTTATTTTTCATCATTAAACATGCACTACGAAGCATTGTCTGGAAAACCTTCACCACGTTTTTTCCGGTTTCTGTCCTTCGGGGCATGTCAGAGGGTTTGCACAAGTCGAACTGACGCTGAAGCTGGCATTTAGCAAGCGCTGGTGGGAGTGGAGCAAGCCTGACTGCCTGCCTGTGCTGCTCAGCTCGCAAACTCAGGTGAGCAGCCAGGTGACTTCAAGAAGACTACTCATCTGCACCAAATTAAGCAAGCCAGGAGATGGATGAGACAACGAGTGCCAGCTCCTGGGATTCTTAGGTCTCTCTCATGCTGCTGAGAGCCCCGAGGAGATGCCTGCTCTCGCGTTTGTTGCTCTCGCCCCAGTTCACTCCGAACACCCAACAGGCTTAAATGCAAGAGCGTGTGCGTGCATTTATTCCAGCAAAAGAGGTGGTTGCATTCTTTGAGTCACAAAAGAGGAAATCAAAATGCAGTTTAGGGTGTGCCTGATGCCTGCTTATTACCTAGTTGTCATTTGAGGCTTTTGGGGCCTATCTCGTCACGTAAATTAAAGGATGACTCAACTAATAGCCGCCTAGTGCTGAACGCTGCCTCTCTGAGAGGGACCTCCCAGCCCACGCCCGAGCTCTGGGAGCTCACCCCTACCCCTCGTCCCCATCTCCCAGCCTAGTCGGAGCGAGTGTGCCCAACACAGCCCTCTGTCCCTCTCCTTTTGCTCAAGATGGGACTTTCTTCCTGCTCTCCCACCTGTTTATACTCTTGCTATTCAATGCAAATGTGAAAAGCGGAGCGCTTGCCCCTCCGGGGAATTTCTCCGAGTATAAAATCCTATTGTCTCCTTTCATTAGCGCATTCCTTGTGGGTGAAGTGGCCTCCCTCTTGGCCACCACACATTCAGGGCTGCTATCAATATTTTATGAGTCACTGGAAGTATTAACAGTACAAAAGTTATGTTCATTATGCTGTCTCTAGCATCTTGTCAGCTTCCCGTGGTGCTTACATGTGACTTCAATAATGCAGATGGCAGACCTTCCCACTAGGCCTTTGTCAGTTATAGGGAACCTCACACCCCAATTACCCAGTTTTTAAAGGAAAAAAATGCGGAAAAAAAATGGATAAAATGTCTTTGCTCTTTTCGTAACACAAACTTCTTGTTAATGATGCACAGTTAGCAGTTTTTGTTCGCTTCTTACCCAGAGGATGCTCTTCTTGACTGCAGTCAGAGTTTTGAGTTAACATAAACCAAGTGAGAAAACTGAGGGCTGGGCTCCAGCAGCACAGGACATGTACTGCCTTTCCCAGTACAATGCAAACTGTGTGCGCCAAGTTCAGAAGCTGCTTATTAAAGCTGTTTAGCCATCTGCAGTCACTACGCAGGCTTACACTGCATTATTTCGTGGTGGCAAGAGCTCTAGATTGCTTCACGCAAACATGGGATGTACTATTTATTTTCCCTTACCTTTTCTTTCTTCTGCCTCCCCACAATTTTTTGTTTATTCCTTTCTTTAACATCTTGTCCTCTATTTCCTGCTACTCCATATGTGGCAGAGATCCCCGCAATTCTCTGGGACCCCGCTCGGCGTACTCTGGCTGCCTGTGCTTCGACAGTTCTGCTAAGCCCCTTGTCCCTGCGCAGGGCAGGTCGGTCGGTGCTGGCAGCCTTACAGACCTCTGGGCGACTGGCACAGGCTCAGCTGGCAGCGGGTGGGAGGGAGGGAAGGGGCCACCTTTCTGCTGCTTGCACCTGAGTAGCCACCAACTAGCACCCTTGATATAACACTGATTTAGATAATAAAACTCTGCATAGAAAATCCCTTTTATTTCTGTAAGGTGAAGCTACACTGGCCTAAGCACACTTGACCACGCAACCTGACTCCTGGGCTTTCCTGCTACCTGTGTGGGACAGTGCTTGGAAATGCTAAGAACTGCGGACACAACCACAAGCGCCATGGCCAACCGCTTGGCTAAACCACAGAAACTGCACAGGTTAAAACCCTCCGTCTAGAGCAACCATAACTGTGGTGTGTACAGCTGGAAAAAGCAGAGGAAGCCCAGGAGTACAGCAGTAACCCCAGCTGTGGTTTTGTGGGGTGAGGGAGGCAGGGAGTTGCTGGGAGGAGAAAGCAGAAGGCACAGTTATGTTATCTTCACCCATCTTCCACCTTTTGCCACAGCTTTCTCCTTGTGGATCCTCAAACCCTCACGTGTCCGCTGTGCCTCCGCTCCCACACTGAGCCCCGTGGGCTTGCCATCCCTGCTCGATGCTTCATAGCCCTTCTGCAGCCCCTTGCCTTGCCCCACGCGGGCACTTGTTGGGTTGGCAAACCACCACCTCTGCCCCACCAAGACAGACCCAGCTACCAGGTGTAAAATATCTGGGGTGTGGGAAGAGCTGGTTTTGCCATTTTTTTGCTACCCCCATTTCCCACTTTGATGCTTCCTCCCAGCTGAGGAGCTGCAGCTCTGCCCAAGTGGACGGTCTCACAAATTATAACTCTCACCCAAGAAGACCTAATGATGGGGGCTGTTTCCGCTTTATAGGATGACACAAAACCTGTGGGCCTGGAATCCCAAGATTCCAGTTTTGGACAACACTTAAGAAGATGCATAAGGAGACTAATTATCTTCATTTATTCCATAATTATTTTAATTATTAATCGCTTCCTTCTTTCTTGCCTATTATCAGGTCTGGAGGTGGGAGGGTTCCCAAGCTGCGAAGGCAGGCTCTGCCTCCAACATGCTCTTGTGACTCACCAGGTTCATCTTTATCTCTTCCCACACCTTTCATAACAAGACTTCCTGGAAGCTGCATCACTCCTTCTGGGGACACAGTAAGTAGGCTACTATGCACACCTAAGTTGACTCACTTGAGAGAAGATGTCTTGTTCCTTCTGCATCATTCCCTCTGCAGATGGTTTGGAGAATGAGAGGGCCAGCTCTGGTAAACCTGGTGGAAGACATAGGGCATGGCTGCTGGGTGAGCAAATGAGTTTGTCTTCTCAGGTGGAGAGTGACGATCCAAGGGCTGGAGTACCTCTCCTACGAGGACAGGCTGCGAGAGTTGGGGCTGTTCAACCTGGAGAAGAGAAGACTCCAGGGTGACCTTATAGCAGCCTTTCAGTACCTGAAGGGGCCTACAGGAAGGATGGAGGGGGACTTTTCACAAGGGTGTGTAGTGATAGGATAAGGGGGAATGGCTCTAAACTAAAAGAGGGCAGATTTAGGTTAGATATTAGGAAGAAATTCTTCACCATGAGGGTGGTGAAACACTGGAACAGGTTGCCCAGAGAAGCTGTGGATGCCCCCTCCCTGGAAGTGTTCAAGGCCACGTTGCATGGAGCTCTGAGCAGCCTGGTCTAGTGGAAGATGTCCCTGCTCGTGGCAGGGGGTTTGGAACCAGATGATCTGTAAGGTCCCTTCCAACCCTTACCATTCCATGATTCTATGATTCTAAGTACGTAATAAGTAATAATAATAAAATACCAGATCCTACAGAGGAAGGAGTTCAGGAGTTGAGATCATGTAAATTAAGTGCTGATGGTGACAAAGGCAAGTGAGGAAGAATCACGCTCTAGGTGGAGACACGAACATGTGTCAGAGGGAGATGACTGTGTACGGAACTCGTCTGTTCGGATACTAATCAGAACCTGGGTCCTCGAAGCTCAGCTAGTGACACCTTCATTAATTCAAAAAGGAGATTGTAGTGCCAAGCTGCAGAAACAGAAAATAACCTCACCTTGCTGCATGAACAGCACGCAAATCTCCAAGTGCCACAGCTGGAGAGGGTTGCCAGAAACACGAGGTTTGCTGGGATGACAGTGTCCTCTTCCCTGGCCTGCAGTCTCATGCTCTGCCGTGGTTCTGCCCTTCTCACAGGCAGGGCAGCATACGGCAGGGAGGTGAAGCAGCCTCCCTTCCCTAGTAGCAGGACTAAGCGCTGACCAAGAGGCGCTTTGTTGTGACGCAAACTAAATACGGTTTTTGCCTTGAAAACATGTACGATTTTGAACCGCTGTTTGCTCCCCATTCTTCTATATCTTCTATTTTTTTTTATGTGCTTCTATTTTCAGCTCAGAACATTAAACAGTGCTGGGTTTTGGCTCCATAAATAGGCACAGGGAAACTGCAATGAGCTAGAAAGATGAATTTTGTCTTTCACTCTCTAAGGCTGGGAGCACTTCAGCTTTGTGTACTGTGTTTTCAGTATCTCGCTGTTACCCTTTAACCTGACAGCAAATCCCTTCTGAGTCTGTATCTGTTCCTGATGGGGGAAATGCAAGGAGAGAAGGAAATACAGACTAATATTTCCTTTTTAATTTAATTTTTACAAGGTTTTCAGCTATTAACATAAGCAGTCTATGATACTGTAAAAAATTAACATCAGGGCTGCCCTTTTAATAACTATGAACAAAATGATTACAACTGAAGAGTTGTAGCATATCTTGTTGTTCTACATGAATTATTACGTATATTATCCTAGTTATTTACACATTGTAATAAATTGGGACTACTGGTGCTCCGAAACTGTGATTTGTTAGCACTTACACTCACTTACAGAGATACAAACATCTGTAAAGTATGTTTGTTATGAATTAAGTTTACTGAGGTCAAACTAGCATTTTGTGGAAATTTTTCAATTTCCTGTCTCTAATCCAAGGGGCTTTTTATACACACTAAATATAAAATGGGTTGATATTTAACAGGCTGACAAAAAGCAGCTTACCAGGTTTTCTGTAAATATTAGTCGTAATTTTTCTCATGCCTGAATGCATCATCACGATGACAGCAATGAAAAAGCTTGTGTGATCTTTCAGTCTGAAATCCAAACCATGCAGAATAAAGGAAAAGGGCTCTGCGCAAGCCCATCTTTCCCTGCTGTTTGAATCAGGTGCCTCCTTATCTTGCCCCACTGAAGTGGTGCAGCATTTCTAGAGGAGGCTGATGCTCACTTCTTGTGGAGAGACGGACTTTCCCATAAGCTGGTCCTACAGCAGAATGAGAGCTGTAGCCACCTGCAAGCTCCTTTCTGCAAGGACAAGGCATACTACAGCATCACAAGGGTTTTTTAACTGGTATCAGCCTCTACGGAAGAGATCAATTATAAAATGTTGAAAAGGAAATCTACCTCAGCTGACCAGGGGCATTTGATTCTTTACGACTTACCAAGATTAATTGGAGCTGGAGGAGGTTGGGGCTTTGTCTTTTAATGCTCCTGTAATTCTCAAACAGTTGAAGGAATTTTGTTAAACAGCTGTCACCAGAGGGAAAAAGTGGATGCCTTGAAAAACAAATTATGGAAATGCTTATAACCCAGAGGTGATGAACAGTAATAATGAGCGAGAAGAAAACGTACTTCCCAGCTGAAATCCTGTAAGAGACACCAGTTGCAAAATAGTTACTTTAAGGTGGGGCTCTATCAAGTTTGAAGAGACCCAGAAAATGGACGAGATTGAAGCACGATGAAATTACCAAAGGCTACAGTCCGTCAAGCTGAGCTTCTCACGTGGCATCAGGACTTTGTGTTATGATGGTGTCTGCACATGTACGTTACGTGCTGATCTAGGGCGAGAGGATGCCACGCAAGCAGCTGTAAGGCTTAGCTGCGCATCACTTTATGGGACACAGCAGCCATTCGAACAATTTTAATTTCATCTGCTGCCTAAGCAACACTGATGTTTCCTCTGTATGTTATTGCCGTGGCTTAACCCAGCGTGTTTTCTTATCTGTTTCAAATGAGAGGCAGAATTATTAGTGCTGCTACTAATAGGGTCGCCTCCTGTTTTCAGTAACTTAAAACTCTGCCAGATATTAACTGTTCATACTGAAATTTTCCAAGCCTGAAGGAGAATCATTTGAAAAAATTTCAGGTAATATGGTTTACCTTTTTCTGATAATGCAATTTTAAAAATATGTTATTTTGCTTGTATTAAGCCAAAATTCGAATAACTATTTTATAGAGAAGCTCTAAGATTGTCAGGTTTTAAACTAGGGCTTGGAAATTTGGCTGAGACTGCACCAGTGGTTCCCCTTTTGTCATTCTTGTAAATTTACCCCAATCAGAGCAAGTTACAGTATTTAAAAAGAGGCACCAGTTTGCCAGTGCTGAGCGGAGACCCGCCAGCGTGCAGGTGCTGTATTGGGGCAGTTCCCTGTGCACCGGCTGGCCTCTGCCAGGGAGCAGCTCACTGGGGCTCACGCTGCTGCTCCGACTCTTGCGCTCACAGCACCAGGTGCCAGACCTAAGAACAGTCTCGTGTTTTGTCCTGGCTCTCAGTACTCCCTTTGCCAGTAACGGGAGCAGACTGAAGGTGTCATTGTATGCACACATCCCCATCACTAGCAGTAGGAGCCATATTGGGAAGCAGATATTGAAGAGAACGTCTGCGCAGGAGCGTGGAGTGTCCCAGGACTCGGGAGGTAACGCAGCATCCAGGAACAAGAACGAGAGACTGGGCTGAAGGGGAGACTGGAGCAAGGCTCTGCAGTGGGAGAGAGGAGGCGTGTGGGGACAGGAGGAAGAGATCAGCTTTGGCCGGGGAACAGGCAGAGGGGTTTGCGCTGGTTAGACCCTACATGCTTGCAGTTCCTGGCCCCGACACCACATTCTCAGCCTCACTGCTCTTCATCAAGCTCTGCTGCGAAGCGTGTCCCTCCGTCCGTCCTGACGGCTGGAGAGCGTGCGCTGCTGCTTGCAGGTCTCGCAGCGCGGGGAGCAAGGGTGTTTCCCACAGGCTTAAAAGCTCCAGCAGCACTTGGACCATTTCCTAATACTTCTGTTCTTCATTGCGCTGTCTTCATTCAGAAACTGACACATTCAAAATCCATCCTACATTAAAGGAACATGAACATTGCGAAATCTAGCTCTTGCAAGCCAGAAAAACAATAGAATATTGTCCACATAAATGTAATTTATCTTCTGTGTGCCTAAATACAATGGTATGAAATAATTTCTTTCCAGTTGACTCCTAAAGGTCTCACAACCAAAACCGATAGCAATGAGAGTGAGATTTGATTAGAGATACGAAAACAGGGCCACAAGCATTGGTATCTCCCATGCAAGATTGGCAGGTTTTTTTTATCTTAATCTCAATTTTTTTTTTTTAAAGTAGGAATCACACTCCAATACAATGTCTGGGAACTGATGAAAAGATACACAAAAGCTAATGAGAAACTACTTTATATTTACCGTTCTAACAGTGTGAAGGCACAGGGCTATGCCTTGAATCACAAGGAAGAAACAACTGAGACCTCACTAGGTAAAAGAATAATCTAAACTGTCACGAATGCTGTATTTCCAAACTTCTCACTCCTTGAATTTGCTGTATTACTGATTTTTAACATACTTCTTTGTTATAATTTTTATATCATCTCACATGGGCTTCCCAGTTTTTTGATCATGTATGCATTAGCAGACAATGATGCAATTAAAAGAGTTTATAAGAGAGTGAGAACAAGGCTTAGGTAAATGTAGTGTTACCTAATCTTAAAATACTGGAATACAAAAATATGATAACTCTTAACATATTCAACCCTTTCACAGAATGACATGGGAGGAAAAATCACCAGACAAAACAAACCCCCCACCTGATTTTGAACGTTCCAGAGATGAGGAAGATCAGCTGCAGAAGGTCACAATTGCACCCGAGAATGATGACTCCAAGCGCATTTCAATTTTTTGCTCTGCATGTCAACAAACAATATATCCATACCAGCTTCTTTATCATAAAAAACCCCACAAAGCCCTAACTTTGCTGGGTTTTGATAGCCCACATTCGAAGACTGACAACAAAACACTTACAGCCCAGAGACAGAAAATAATTTCAAAATTGACCAAGATTCCTAAATATTCTGAGGCACATAGGCAGAAGATTGATAATTCATTTGAATTGCTTATGAATAATCACAGTCCTACATCATATTGCGATCTTCCTAATATTCCTGGTACCTTCCAGAAAGTAAATAATTCTTTAATAAAAGCATTATCAATTTGCCAAGATAAAAACTCCAAGTGGCAGGCAGACATGGAAGACAGATTCATTGTGCTTGACAGCTACGGAAATCGGCCAGATACATGTTTTCTGGGGTTAGTTGACGGCTCTCATGGTGTGGCAGCAGCAGAAACACTTGCAGCCGAGCTTCCACTTCTATTTCTTGACCAGCTTGCTCAAATGGATTCCTCCTACAGAAAGAGTGAGGATGAACAGCAAATTCTGGATTCTTTTGCCACAGTAATCAATGCAGATTACAGGGAAAAAGAGAAGATCTTCTCTGATAAACCAGGCAATGATGAGACCAGCAAGACCAATACTTACGAATGGATTCACAAAGCATATGCCAAGTCCTTTTGGAGAATGGATAGACTGTTACGACTGGGAAGGAATGAGGTTTCCAAAGTTCGCTGGAGTGGCTGCTCAGCTGTTACCTGTTTGGTGGAAAGAATCCCCAGCGAAGAGACAGGTGGCACTGAGGAAGAAGAAAGAAAACGTTCTGAAAACACCACACACACTCCATTAGCCAGGACAGCCAAAGGTGTTGCCGGGTTACTGCACATTGCCAATGTAGGTATGTACATTCCACACTAGGATTTCTTTTTTCCCCTCTGCCCAATAAAAAGAAAAAAAATAATCTAGAGGTTTGTTGACAGTAGACACAATTGTTTTAACTTGACAATGTGAAGGAGACATGATAAATTCCCTTGCAACTGATACTAGTATCAGGCAGTAAGTATTAAGCTTATTAGATAAGTACCTTCAATATGTTTGAGTTAAAGCAATAAAGTCAATTTACTCATGCAAAAGACACAGTTAAGAAACATTCCATAATACACAAGTGACCTCTGTAAAGAGTAGTAAGGACAATTTTTTTTTTTTTTTTTAAATCAAGAGGAGGTCTAGGGTGTCACCATTTTAGGGCAGACAATCATAAGCCTTCTGATTTTAGATTTAATAAGTCCCTTGTGTCAATGGAACATTGTTAAGATATTAATTTCATTGACAAATGACCCCATGTTTTGCTACCAACAAACTGAAAACACGATCTGTGGGGATCATGTGAACTATTAATTTCTGAAATAGGAATTGGTTGTTATTTACTGTTGTTATGGAAGATCTATTCAGACCTGTTTCCTCATGAACGAGAGCCCCGCTTTGCCTTTCTATAGTTAGAAAATCAGTCATTAATTACAATCAGAAACACTGATGCATTCCCAATGCTTCTGGACCCAGCCCTGCTGCAGGCAACACTAGACAAAGCTCTGGCAGCTCTTAGCAACTCTACTCATTATACCCTTCCACCTGGTGATTTTTGTTGCCAGTTCTCTTGTGTATACAGGACATCTTTAACATTACAAGCAAGATGCTTGCTTTCCCACAAAGGAGTATAAAGCAGAATTATATAAAAAAGCTGTTGGGTGAAGAGTTTCAGATGGATTTGTGTCTACAGTTAGGTTCTCTCATGCCTTTCAGTCTCTGCCTGAAGCACATGCCTGAAGCACGTGCCCAGCACTGTAACACTTTCCTATCGCTCTCCCTAGCACTACTAGTAAGGTGTGTTCACAAATCTTGAAAGACTTCTTCATATTTCTGCATAAGAAATTTGTCTGAAATTAATCAAGAGGGTCAAAGATCACTGGGGTAAGAGAAAACCATTTAGGAGGCTTCATTTCTTCAGGAGGAAAAAAACCCAAAACATAACAAAAATGTACTCTACATTTGGAAAAACTGACCCCAGATTTAACAACAAAAAAAAGAGAATATTTTTGCTTAACAGTGGTATGCAATCCTCTGCCAGTCTGAGGAACACTATAAACCAACTTGAACACGCACTGACAGTGAAATAAGTAACAGTGGCCTATCCCCTCCCTTTCCTCTCGCCCATTTTCCCGATGCTTGTTGCTATAGCCGTACTTCCTCTACCTCCAACAAGCACTTCTGCAGCTACCAGAACTTTACTGTTACTGGTATCAAAATTGGTAGCTTAGTGCTAGCTCGGGTATTCTTGCAGGAGACACAGTCACAATTTTAACAGAATACAGGAGTAACACACATAAAGGTTGTAATGCTTTCAGAGCTAACAAACGCATTTGTTTTCACCTTATTGGGGAAGAAACCCATTTTTATTAAAATAGGCTTGAGAGGTAGGAAGAAGGTAAGAAAATCTGGTAGAGAATTCACCCAATTTAAGTTTTCTGGTTCTAGTTACCAGCCTGCATCCTTCCCTCCCAGATGAGGCTTTATGCTTGCTGCAACTAAAGACACTATGAACTCAAGCTCTGCTACTGAGTTCAGGCTTGAAGTTGATCTGAGATACTTTAAGCCTTCTATCATTAAAGTCCACATTTTAAAACCACTTCTAAATATACGTTTATTTAATCTAATACACTCAATTTTCCACCAAATGTATCACATCAAATAAAAAGATTTGCACAACATCAAGCTTCATTTTCCCCCCAGGAGTGTGTTATTACAGAAGCACAGACATGTTCCTTCAGCACCAGGTAAGCAACCTAAGAGGATGATAAGATACAAGGAGCAGGAGACGGTGGCGATGGCCAGCTTTGTCTTCTTCATTTAGTCCCACATCAATAGGTCGGCTAGTTTATGTCGATTCTTTTGCCCTGTCCCTGGCATGCAGACAAGAGACTTGCATCCAAAAGCGACTACATTTTACTCTTTCTTGCGGCCAAATCGTCCCACGTGGGTTATATTATGCTCTTTGTTAAGTTTACAGCTGGTGGCCTTACTCAGGCGGTTCAACGGAAATTTTGGACAATCTTCCAGCTCTCCACAGAAATCAGGAAGCAGGAGGGAAGCAAGCACAAGCAAACATTCACACAACATAATTTAAGGCATCTACATTCTATAATCAATACAAAAGGTGTATCCTTCAGTTTGATGTTCTGAATCATCTTCTAGAGAAGTCTGCCTTCATACCGATGACACTTGGCTGTCTCCTACACTAGGCAATGTTAATACTTTCCAAGAAACACAACCCCTGTATAAGCAGTGCCTACTTAAAAACACTTTTCAGACATCTATGCCCTAGTCTAGCCAGATGATATTAAAAATACAATATAAATGAACACACTGTGGCCAGCTTAGTGTCTGGAAAGCTACTATCCCACTCAAGTTCCTTCTGCAAGACATCACTTTTGCCCTTATGCCAACGCATGGAAGCAGAGCAATCACCTCCCCTAACACAAAAAATGGTCTTCTCCCAGCACAGCCATAGAGGATCTCAAACAATACATCTGTTTCAGAACTGCTTTCCTTTACGGTCTGCATTCAAGTCTGACAAGACTAGCCACCTGCAGTGCTTCAGTTTCTAACACTTTTCATTCTCACCCTCTAGATTTCAAAAGTGTTGAAAGGTAAAGTACCTATTCCTACCAAAGGAAAGAAGTCAGTCCTTGACTTCTCATGATGACTGTGAGAATTCTTGCTTAACCAAGGAAGAAACTTAAGGCATCATGTTAGTAAACTGTAAATTCTACACAATGTCCAAATTATTTTCAGGTACTAGAAATTTCGTACTGCTAAAAACAGTGTGAACCTGAAACTTCTTGATGAGTCCATTCAGCCATAATATTTTGAAAGCACACACTCTCCTAGGAAAAAAAAAAAAGGGTATTTGAGAAAAATATGCACCCTTGCTTAAAAAAAATAATCAAGGTGCAACATTTCTATCAAACTGCACTTTAACCTGAATGAAATGTCACTTAAGACTCCTCCTAAGTGTTCAGCTACAGTCAGAAGGAAAAGGTTCTGCAATAGTCTTCTGAATAATGGAAGGGGAAAAAAAAACAGAGAAGACTTTGCTGTAAAATAGAACCAGATTCACTGATGGACATATTGTTGCCTGCAGCAGCAGATAATTGAACTATGACTTCATTTTTTCCCCAGTCCTTAGCAAAAGGCTAACTGTTAATGTAACAGCAGTATCTTAAAAAATTCAGTACACTATAATTCAAAATATTACCTTATTTCAATTTTAGGTAATGCACATGCAGTCTTATGTAAAAATGGGAAGAGTCACTGCCTCTCAAAAGAGCACAGCACTTCTAATGTAAGCGAGAGAAAACGCATACTTCAGAACGGTGGAAACATCAGCACTAATGAACCAGACGGATTAGTAGAGGGGCACCTGAGAACAACAAGGGGTCTTGGACATCATGGAGATCCAGTACTGAAAAGATCCGTTATACCTGTACCTCATACCATATCTGTCCCTATTGATGACACTTGTCAGTTCCTTATTTTAGCTTCTAATGGGCTATGGGAAGTTTTGGATTACAGTGAAGTACTTGCATTAACTCTAACAACATTCACTCATTATTTGAGAATGTATGACTGTGTTCAACAAAATGGAACTTCTCTGTGTAAGTGTCAGTATTTGATGCCCCTCACTGCAGACTATTTAAATGACTCAAAGGCTATTGATCTGCAAAATGGAATAGAGGTACTGTATTCCAATAAAGAATTTTTTCTCACTGACTCAAAAGGCAACCTGAAACAAAATAAGCCAAAATGTTCTAGGAGGAACTATTCGCAAAGTGAAAATGGAGCTCCTACACAAACTGATGACCACAAAAATCAAGCTGATCCCAAACCGCCTCTTTTCAGTAACCATGAAGTAAATTCACAGAATAGAGATATAAAACTGTCCGATTCTAGCACACAAAGTAGTTCTGAAGAACTGAAACAGTCTGAGGACAGAAAAGTGTGTCTATGTAACAGTCCTCCACCACAGTCACAGACTGCAGTGCAAGAAGAAACAGACACTGACACTTTCCATGTGACAGACCCAAGTTGCACCCACGAACAGCTGCCAGATAATGTACTGGCAATAGGGTCTAAAGACATGAAACAGTCCCCAAGAGATACAGAAATATGCCTATCTAATTATGACTCAAGTCCACAACTAGCAGAAAAGATGGACTCCAAGTTATTTTGTGAAAAACCTACAAGTCACACAGGTCAAGAAGTGCTAAAGACTGTATCACCAGTGGGTTCTAAACCACCACCACAGTTTGAAGAGGACACAAAAATGTACCTGTGCAATTGCAAATCACAAACTGCAGGAAGAGGAAGAGTCACCTCTGAGACACTCTATGACGACGCTGCAAGCTACATTAGTGAACAACTGGTGAAGACTGCATTAGCTGCAGGTTCAAGAGATAATATTGCTATTTTGATTGTACTTCTAAATGGATGCGATAAGATACCCAATTACCTCAACATTTGAAATTTTATCATAGGATAACTGAAGTGCCGCAGTACATATAGTTCAAGCTTATATTTAACTGTCATGAATTTACTTGTAATCATCTTAAATGCTGTGCCACATAGTAAACCAGACATTCTGTCTGAAACCTTGCAAATGCAGTAAAACCTTCTGAAACTCTGAATGAGAAGCAGCAATCAAAAAAAAAAATTTTTTTTAAACCACTTTATTCAAACCTGAGCACCTCAATATAAAACTAAACACTGGTGAACTGTCATTTTCCTTGCTCAACCCAGATTACTGCAAATTTAAAATCTGCACAGGTAAGTTTCTGCTATCAGTTCAACATTTAAATAGACTAATTCATCTCTTCTGACACACTTGGTAGATTTCATATAATGAAAATAACTAAAAGAATTAGTGCAATATACTGGACAGATCAAAATAAAATGTACTTTGGAAAACAAAGTTGCAAAGTTCATTACTGACAGACAGCAGTACTTATGTTACAGATACAGGAGCATCATTTATTACTGTTCTAGCCATAAAGGCTAGAACTCAGAACCCCCTTTGATCAGATGAGGAAAAAAGTTAGCTTTAAGTAACTGTACATTCTGTATACCTTTAAGCAACTCTTAAATATTACAGGAAGTATTAAACAAATGTAGACTATAATGCAGAGTACCTATTTACAGTACATTAATATCCAAATTTAAAATCAAGTTGGATGTACATAATTAGTGCACTGTTTTTTTCCTTAGGGGAAAAACAAACTGTAATGGCCAGCAATGATCAAAAAACAAGAAAGAAGTCACAGACACCCAGTTTGTTGTGGTTTTACTTGAAGAGCTCTTACAGTTTGTAGAGGGGAAAAAAAATCCTAAGTCATAAAGTTGAATTTACTGGTCTGTACCCTCTGAACAGACCAGAAATAAAGTTAAACTTGATTTTTCACTGACTCCTTCAGATAACTAACTGGGTTGATATAATTTACATACAGTGTACCAACTAAAACTCCACTTTCCTGCAAGCATAGGGTTCTTAAGATTGTTAATATAAGTATTATTTGTAATTAAATTAATAAACTATGGAATGTATAACTAAACAGTAGATACTTGCAGAAACAACTGGTTGCATCAATACTGTGAATAAGTTTAAGTAATTTTTAGACCCTGTTTCTAAAAAGGTTTTATAGCACAGTTGAATATTATGAAAAGTCCCAATTCTATTTATTATAACAGTAATCAGTATTGAGGCTACAGGAACTGGCCAATTAGGTCCATGGAAAGCAGTTCTTCTAGACCCCTAATGGTAAGCGATTTTTAAACCTTTCAACTGAAGGAAGTTTATTCCGCTTCCATCTCTCCTCTACTGCTGAAACATTACAGTCAGCGGTGGATACATGAATTATGAAAAGTCCCAATTCTATTTATTATAACAGTAATCAGTATTGAGGCTACAGGAACTGGCCAATTAGGTCCATGGAAAGCAGTTCTTCTAGACCCCTAATGGTAAGCGATTTTTAAACCTTTCAACTGAAGGAAGTTTATTCCGCTTCCATCTCTCCTCTACTGCTGAAACATTACAGTCAGCGGTGGATACATGCATGTTAAAAATTTAAGTCAAAAGAAAACTCTGTATCATGAACTTGACTATTATCATAAGTCTCTTCACTGTTTGGAAGCTGTACTGGGCCAGGTTAAGCACTCCAATTCCATGGTTATTAACAGTTAGGAAGCAGAAGAATATTCAGAACAGTTTAAAGCAATTATGTGTTAGTTACTACAACATTGACTCTTGGGTGGTTGCGTGGGTTCAGTAAGGTCTACTCCTCTTCCTCTGGCAGAGTTGGCTCCTGCATTCTGTGGTTCACTCTTGGGCAATTTTTTTGCTATAAAATCAACAAGAAATAGGAGTTAAAAGTGAGATTGTACTAAGATTAAATCACCCGAGTACATAAGCAGTCAACACTTTACTACTCTGTAAGCGTATCAATATAATCACTATAAAATCTCATTTTATTCAGTGCACTGGTAATAAGACACTTCTTAATAATTAACTACCTCATCTACAAATTTCAAGAGTGAAATGCATTAGTAACTTAAACAGCAAAATGCTAACTGCGCAGGTGTGCTATGCCAGTAAACAAAGGCTCTTGTGGGAATCCCCCTACACAGAACAGGCTTTAAGATCAGGATGTTAGTGCTGAAAGACACAAAAGGAATGAAAAGGCACAAAACAGACAGAAGCGGGTCAAACTACTGCCCAGCTATCTAGCCAGAATAAGTATTTGCATACAACATGTAAAATGGCCCTCAGCACTAAATCAGGTCTCTCTCTTTTTTTTTTTTTTTCCCCCCAAGCCATTTCTCGCCAGCTCTTGTGAGTCAATTGACTGTGATTTCTTTGTTGACCTTGTAGCTCCAGGGTACCTCCTCAGTCATTGACATGAAAAATAAGGGTGAAAAATGTTACCATTCTGAGCAGTAGCTCCTCCTAGCAATTTTGTGATGGAGAGAAAGCCAAGTCTTGCCATCTTGCCCATGTTACTAGGACCCAACCACCATCCCTGTTCTAGAGTTGCTTCGACTCCAAAGCAACTACTTTGGCCAGCTTTTTAAAGAACAACTTTTCCTAAAAGGAATGAAATGGAAGCATGACAGCCAGAAAACCAATAGAGTACACATCAGCAAGATGCGTTGTGGTGCTAGATAATCTCAGAGTGCTTGGTAATCTCATCTAGGCTCTCTTTCCCACAGAAGGCTGGACCAGCTGCTGAGACAGTACGAAGGGACAAAGCATCAGCAGAAAAAGAGCACTGGTCTGGATTCTACACATACATTCTAGAATTGTAAATTAACAGTTTTTTTTTTAACTGGAAGTTCTCAACCAGCTGTCAAGCAGTCAATTTACAAGCAGCTGTAGCTTGCATCCCTCAATTCCATCCATGTTCTCATTTTTCATTTTCTCCCATTTTTGAACATCGTATTTATACATGGTCCTGAACAAACTGCATCCATGTTGTGCAAAAGGCCATTCCAAGTTCCATGCAACACTTACAGCCTCGTCAAGATTCTCCTTCAGGGAGATCTTGTTCTGATGCACTGACAAAGCTGAATTTCACCCATCAATGTGGAAAAAAATATCAGATTTTGGGGATTAATTTGTCTTTTTTTTAAACAAGATGCAAATTGTACCTTTAAACAAATTAATTTTAAAATTTCCCAGGAACAGTGTAATTGAGCATTTCTGTATCATCAAATACAGGCCTATCTCAAGCATTTATGAGAAAAAAATACGTTCCACTCATACAGCTGTGGGTTTTTTCCCCCCCAGTATTTATAGTTAATATGAAGCAAGTACTTGTTATAAAGTGTTGCTATAGTGATAATTTAATTTGCATCTGCTGGAAGTTTGAACCACACCACGAACTACCTTCTGCTTTTCTGACTTGGAAAGCAGAAGGTAAGAGCTCTTCTAATTTTGATAGCAATGCGGTTTTTCACAAAAAGAAGTAGGATAAAGAGGTCACTGTAATGCAAAATATGAAACAGATTTAATAAGGTTAATTGACACTATACATTACTACTCCCCAGTAGTAGAGCTACTACTGTGATTAAGGTTATTATTATATAGGTTGGTGACCAACCGAAAGACACATTTTCTTTTTCCTCCTTCTTTTGTTAAGAATGAAATACCATTTTCTGTCTCTCAATGGAATTCACAAAATCTCTTAGTAATTTATACTTACTATTACATGTTAGTCTTAAGGATTTGTGTAAAGATACTATGTTAGAGCTAAAAGTGTATTAGTAAATGGACTTTTCACATGAAGTGTCCTTTACTTATAGTTGGATATTGAACTTAAGCACACACTGTCATCTTTGGCACAATTTTCGGATTTCAGAGAGCTGCATTTGGAATTCCAACAAAATTTTAAAAACAAAAGTGTATTTAACAAATATTTTGTTTAGACTAAAATGAATACTTGACTTTTAAGCAAGTCCATTATTCTGCCATTTTGAAATGTTTCCAGCTTCAATTACCACTGTCTCACAAAAGGGGCATTATTACAGGCTCTACACCTATTCAGGGTAGCGTGGAGACTGTTGCAAGCGATATACCATGAAAAGGTACACATTTATACTCTTTCACTTACATTCTTACACTAATTTGATTAACAGATGCCAAATACAACCTACAATTAAGAAAAGCTGTATAAAGCTTTTTATGGTTACCTATACCACGGGAAAGGTGGGGTATTTTTGTAGGTAACTAAAGCTTAATTTTGCTTGAACTTGAAGCAGTACAAGTTTTGATAATGGAATCAAAACAGGTACATGGAACTTGCTGACAGAATTCAGATGTAACCTAGCTTAGCTATTCCAAGTTAACCCAAGTGTTCTGGTGCTTGCCACAAGAGCTGTACAACTGCATTTCAAGTACGTTTATCTGACTTCTGAACATCAAAAGGGATATGAAAGGGCCTAAGCAAACTTCAGTGCCAGAAATAACTTAGGGGAAAAACAAAGATCTTGTGTTAGGAAGACAGATGGTATGAATTCTCATGAAAATAACTCCCTCAAATTCTCAGTCTGTTCATAAACTCACCAATTGCCATGAATATTTCATTTACGTTCATAGATGTTTTGGCAGATGTCTCCATGAACAATAAACTGTTGTCATCTGCATAAGCCTGTGCTTCCTGAAAGTTAAAATAAGAATGCATTACTTCATTAAATTAAAAATAAAATAAAACAAAAAAAATCACACAATCATTACACACTGTACTTTTATCGTTACTAAGGAGCAATTTCTATACCACTGTGAAAGAAAGTTTGTTGAAACACTCATATGACAATGTGTTATTCATCAGCTATGAAGAAGTTACAATTCCATCAAGCAGCTAAACATTTAGAAATGCAATCTTAAAAATCTTTACTCATCCTGAAAATACCCACACGGAAAAATCTCAGGCAAAACTAAATAACAGATAAAAATATTTGTTGAAAAGACAACCCTCATCCAGAACACTAGCTGAGATAGCAAGAACAAATAAGGTCCAGAAAGTGTCATTAAATATCAGAAAGTCTATTATTACCCTGGAAAGAAGGCAGTTTGTGAACTATCTTGAATCCTTCAACAACTGAGTCGGATCAGAACAATTTCATTATCCTGACACAAATTCACAATTGTAAAACAAACTGTATTAAATATCTTGCCATGTTATCTCCCTTTTCAGTTCATATTTTGATCTGACATAACTGTTCATAAAAAGTTTCCTATTTTCGCCACTTCCCGTCAGCCAATTCAGCTGAGAATACTCAGCTTCTTTTAATTATGTAACTGCCTTTGTATTCAATAGATCTGCAAAAAGCCAAAGTATAAAATACCTGACAGAAAAAAAAAATTTGTAGCATTCTATATTCAAGTGACACCTCATAAGATGTGTAAGATCTGATAAGATCCGTGATATGGTATGATAAGATCTGAGAAGAACTATATCTGAAATAACTAACAGAATACTTTGAAATCCAAAATGTGCTTTGCAATGAGAAAGGATTCTCAAGCCTGCAAGGACTGTGCAAATCCACAATAATTTTTCTACAATTAAAATCTTGATATTTTTCAAATGTTTTTTTTTTGTTAATGGAAGTAGTTCTGCTGTGATAATTAAATTTCATTACGTTTTTGACTGCACACATGTATGAAATTTTTCGTAAATAGCACAATTTTTCACAGAAGACAAAGGTCTTCCATCACACAGCTTTATGTCACAATTGACATGGAAGCACAAAATTAGAAAACCAAGTTGAATTCTGGCAGAAAGGTACCTAAAACACTGCTAACCTTCATAGTCTGACTCCTATAGTTACAAAAGGATTCATTACTACATACAGCAGTATCTCTTGCAGTGACACCAAACAAATTAAAACCTTAAGAGAATCAGTGACTAATAAATACGATCTTAATTCAAACTCAATCAATCAGGAATGGACCAGAACCACCTGCAGTAAGTTTTATCTGCTTTGGAAGCTATTTTCTGATGACTTGGTTAAACTTTCTAGAAGATAAAAGGTAGCAGTGAGAGCACAGATATATCCACTAAACCAAAAAGAATGCCATGAAAAGCACAATTAAACACTGCTTCAACGTCTAGCCTAAGCAAGTTAAGCACTTCAATCTGTTTCATACCAGGATAATCAGAATTCTCCTGCTGACAAGCCAGAGAGAATGGTTTGCACTGAGAGTTACTGCTGTCTCATCCACTGAAACTCTAGTTACTGGTAATTTCAGGTAGAAGAGAGGAAGAGGTCACATCAAAGAGCAAAAATTCAACTAGCTGTAAAGCGATGCAAATAAATTATTTGTCAGACTTCATTATTCAAAGAAGTCTATTGCTACATATCACTTGTACAGAAGTAGATTTTTTAGCAGCATGTATAATTTAATTAGTCTCAGTTGACGTTTATATTCAACAGCATGACCTATAACAAGTACCTAAGCTATAAATATAAGCTCCTCGTAGGTTTATTTAGTTTCTATTCCAACAAAATGCTACTTCTATAAACAGAAGTCATGCACATACCTGGAAATCCACAGCTCTCTTGTTAGCTAGATCAGCTTTGTTTCCTGCTAAAGCTATTACAATGTTAGGACTTGCTTGTCGCTGAAGTTCTTTGACCCAGTTTTTCGCTCTGGCAAAGGACTCCTGTTAATGATTGCAAAATGGTGCAACTGAGTTATCATCCTTTTGTACTCACCTATTATCCCAATCTCTGTTATCTATACTTCAAGCAAAAGGCCAACGCAAGGCTGCTACCTTTGTCCAAAGGCACACTCCAACTTGCCAACCGAGCTTTTAAAATGAAACATTCCTACCTTAGTTCTCAAATGTGCTTAGCTGGGATAATGCTGAAAAAGTAAGTGAAGATAGGAAGATCTTTATGTAGACAGAGTAAGGAAAGAGAAGTGGTTAAGAGAGAAAACAGGAATTTTAATTTCTCCTCAAGAATCAAGTTTATGAACAGCTATATTGAAAGGGTCTCAAAACACTTTCTAATTACTGACCACTGTTCATTACAGTACATGGTTTCTGGGTTTTTAGAGGGTTTTGGGTTTTAATTCTCATATTACCAAAAACAAGTGAAGCTTATCTGATCTAAGTTCACACAAAAATATATCAAATAACCTTAGGTTATGGTCTCAATGCCGTGTGCTACCTTTCCAGTCCTCACCTGTAACTCGCAATAATACAGTATCTTTTACCATCAGAAGTAAACTGCCACCAGCACTGTGGTGAGAGTAACAGCTCAATTCTAGTGAACTGATTTAAAGATGGGTTTGAAACACTTCTACAATGGAATTTTTCTTTCTCTCTCTTTTTTTTAATGCAATAAAAAACCCTAGAAATAGTCTTTTGGCAAGAATAGCTCACAGACACAATTTAACATTACACAGTCTAGTATGAAATGAGCAACCTGATCCAGTGAAAGATGTCCCTGCCCATGGCAGGGGGGCTGGACTAGATGACCTTTAAAGGTCCCTTCCAGCTCAAACCATTCTATGATTCTATGAAATGATGAATTGATTCACACAAGAAAAATTATGGAAAGATCGATGCGAGACTCCTAACTTCCAAATCCCCCTTGCGCCTCCCTAATACAGTACTTACCTCATTTGTAATGTCGTATACCACTATAGCTGCTTGCGCTCCTCTGTAGTACATGGGTGCTAAACTGTGGTACCGCTCTTGCCCAGCTGTATCCCAAATTTCAAATTTTACCGTTGTATCGTCGAGACATACAGTCTGGGTTAGAAAAGCAGCTACAAAAAAAGACAGAGGTGCTGAAACTATAAGTCTGCATATATCTCTATATTCATATAAAATTCTGTTCACATGATGCAAACATGATTTCCTTCAACAATTCAAGCTTATTATTAGAACATAGCAGGTCTGAATCAAGCATTAGCTGACAGACCATGACTGATCAACACAGAACAGTTATTTAAACAGCCAGTCTTTCCTCAAGTTAAAGACATAAGAAAGCAATAATTGGTAAGAATTCATTTTTTTGTTATAGTGAATCTGAGTAACCACAAGCCTTCTCTTCAGTCTTCTAGATACATTTCATCCTGCTTCAACAGACTACTCAGAGAACCCCATCATGCTATAATCCAACAGTTCACTTATTTACAGTTCTACACATTTACATTACTTGAATAGTATCTTAAAGCCTGGATTTTCAGCTCCTGACAACTCCACCTTAGCTACTGGGTATGGAAGAAAGAATCACTTCACAAAAGTTCTTGTTCTTAAAGCAGCCATATTTATGACTTTGCAAGTGATCTCAAGAATTAATTTCAGCATAATTTTGACAGCCTGAAGTTTCAGGCAACTTGCATCCATTGCCACTACGGCTGAATGCATTACGATAATTAAGGGTCTTCTAATCACAGAAAACAGTAAGTAACTTATTCCAAGTTTTCAAACAGTCCTAGTAATGATCTTCCATTCAGATTAACGTACATATTAGAAATATGGAGGTGAGTCCCCACCCAATACAGAAACCTGTGTTACAAAACTAAGCTAGAATCTCAAGAATTTCCTGGGGAAACAAAACCACTGAAAAGCAAGATTTCCTTCTACTAGGTTCTCTTAACTCTGAGTTTTAACTTAGCCATCTGTTCTACCTTAGCTTTTGAAGTTTAAAAATAAACACATAACTATTACAGTGGTCTGACAAGCTGTCTTGATTACTTGCTTTATAGTCACATTGTTTGCCCAGTTACAGTACATTCATGGCAGAAAATGCAACAATTCCACGAATTCAGATGAAAGTTTAAGCAATCCAGCATAAATGCTTGGAGTTGTTTTTCTGGTCATGACAGACGTCTAGTGAAATACTGTAGACTGGCTTGCCCTTGCTCCTTCCACAAACCAGTAGTAAAATTTAAGACCTTCTGCTTGATGAAATGCTAAGTGAAGCCCCCTGCTTGGCTGAACTGGGGACTCTCACCGCTAAGCATATTGACAGATTGTGGCCAATTTAAATCAAATGTCTGAAGAGGCACTGACCCATAACCCTTGCATACCTGGGTTGTTACCCTGTCGCACATATTCCAAGACACGACAGCCTATGAATCACTCCAAAACTGCTGCAACTTTCAACTCACCACAGTAAACCAAAAGCAAGTCGATCTTGCTTTACAAAGGACACTGTAACTAACATATAGAAGCTGACTAGTTAAGTAGTCAGGTGTTCCTGCTTCAGGGTTATTAGCATCCATCACAGATGAGCAGGCAGGTTGGCGAAGGTAAAGCCTTTGATGTTCCAATGTTAAATCACCACAAATCTATAAATGCCAAATACCCAAGCACTGGAAAACAGGCTCCTCTTGGTAGTTCCCTAAGCAGCCCAGAACCAAAATAAAGAGAAAAAACCATACATCCTGCATCAGACTAAGGGCTTCCTCCTCAGAACTAAATCAGTATTACATTTCTCCAAGGCAGAGACAAGATATTAAATACCTGGAATTTGAAGCTCTTACACATATTATTCTTTTCAACAGCAGAATGTATCTACACTCCATGAATGAAGGTATGTACTTAGGAAGAGAATTACAACAAAGGGTTTTTTTCTGACACCCCTATGTTTTTGCTGAAAAGAACCTTTCAACCACCATAAAATGCCAGTTAATTTCTGCAAAGTAACTTTCATCTATCTTGCAAGGCCATAGTAAATTGATAATCAATCAGCTGTGTTAATTATCTGAAAGCCTGTCATCCTTAACAGCCATACCTTTGTCTTCAGCAATTAACAGGCATTGCCACACTAGTCTGGTGGCAAAATCTGTATACAAAGAAAATTATGCCTTAGGCAACTACAAGCTACAGAGTTAGACAGCTATCTCTACAGAAAACTTTTTCTGAATCTCAACATTGCTGTATTTAGTATCTCTCAATTGTATTATATGGCATTTCCTTGTTTCTATTTTATATAGTATAGGCACAAGTTAACAGATTACACTAAACTCTATATATCCAAACTTAACTTAAGCTCTTGTTTAACCTTCGTATAGTTTTTAAACAGTGTAACAGGGTTCGGGTTATCCCTAGTTCTACTCAGACACTAAAACAAATAAAAAAAAAAAAGGAGGTTAAATGAATTGGAGATAACTGAAATTGAACAATGAATTTCACTTAATTTTAACTTTTTTTAACTAAAGCCCACACTTCTATTGTGAAATTAATATATATATATCTTTGAGAATGCGCTCTATATTACCACATAGCTGTATGAGGTAACACAGAAATCTTTCACACTAACATCTATCCTAAAGCCATTCTAAAACGCACAAAGCCAAAACTGAGCATTAGTAAGACTGCTAAAGGAGAAAAAAAGTGGTTCTCCATTTATACTGACAGATATACAAAATAAATACATGTAGCAGATAGAAATAGGGTAAAAAAATGATCCAATGAAATTCAGCTTGTATTTATTTTCGTAAACTTTGTACATTTTTTACATTTCAACAACTGTTCATGTGTAAAGACACATACAGACCACTGAAAGGGCTTCACATAAATATTACAATAAAACAGACTGATACATACAAGCAGCAACAGGGACTACTAGAGAATATTTACCAATCCATAAAATCCATAATTTAAGTCTATATGGCACTAAATTGTTTTAGGATAAGTTTAAATTTAATCCAAGGAGGAACACAGCTCAAAACACAAACAACTTCAGCACGCAATACAACAAAAGAAATCTACCGGGTGGGGGAGGCAGGGGATAAAATATGTTCACAGCTAAAGACTTTTTGAAAATTCTAAGAGCCAGCATCCCTTATGTTTGAAGTCACAAAATGTAAAACCAGTACATTAAATTCTGTGATTATTAACAAAGAAAGGTGTATTCAGAGGTGTAACAAGTTCTCCCAAATCAAAAGCAAAGCCAGGATCCATAAGTAACAACAGAAATTTTTGGAAAATGCAGCAATATTTTTTTTTTTTTCACAGAAACCAAGTTCTTAATTCTTATTAAGCACTTATTTCATGTATTAAGCATACAGCACAATTAAAATAGCCACTCATCCACGCACAAACAAAATGTAACATCAAGCCCAGCTTCCAAAACTATGCAGTTCAAGCACAAGTTTGCTCTCTCCACTTGACATGGATGTTTGCTACAGCCTCATGCCAACCACAACTTTTAGCTTAGAAAGCTATAGATCTCAATTAGAGACACAGGGCTCAGATTTGATCCCTGCTATCAATGACCCATTCCAGAAGTGCCATTACATTCAAGATCATCAAGGGCAATAACAATATAAACTCCACGTGAAACAAATCAACAGGATAATTTTCTCACCTCCAATCGTACTTTCTTGAAACTCATGAAACTGCCCTTTTACAAAACGAAGCACCAAACTTGATTTGCCAACTGCAGACTCTCCTAAAAGTACTAGTTTGAACTGGCAAATTTTGTTTCCAGCATTTGGCCCATTAGGTCTTGTTGCTCCTCGATTAGCCATGCCCAAATTAGAAAGAAGTCCTTTGTTTCAGGCTCTTGAAAGCAAGTTCCAGGATTCAGATTTCAGTGGTGCTTCTGCCAGTAACAACCTGCTTATGAAAAGACGGTGGGTGATATTAGATTTACAAGCCAAGTAAGAGAAAACTAATTCACTAATGCAACATGGATTATATATAACTTGTCCTAATATTTACTAAAGTCAATAGTCCAGAGTACAGCTACCATCGCTGTTGTCAACTATTGATGAAGCCTATGACAAATGCACCAGTTATCTTCTTCAATACCCAGTTTTCCCATTAAAGCTTCAAATTAGGACATTAAAATCCAATTACGTGTCTTCTTGCAAGACTTCAGTCTTTTCTTTCTTAATGTATCAAGACTGAAGTGTAACACAACAGATTCAGACTTTCACATTACTGGTAAAATATTAAATGACAAGACATAGTAATTTTGCCCATAATTTTTTGCTGTTGCTAAGCAATATTCTGAAGTCAGTACCACTAAAGGATGCTGAAAACTTGAGTAAATTGTGAAAACTCCATCACAATATCAAGTTCTTTGCAAGTATACTTCATCAATTCACTTCTATCACGTATTTTAAATGCAATTACCTTAAATACAAGTACAGGAGATCTTGACATACAAATCATTAATACCGTCTCTAGTTAACAATTGTACTTTGAGAAGCAAAAATACAAAGGCTTTCATATGTACAAAATTGGATCATCTTGACCGGTAAGGATTCCAGATCACTTTGTGCAAGCCACCAGAGAACTATCGTATGACGATAAATTGGCATTTCCAATACCAACACATGTCTTAGCAAACCAATATTCACAATAGATATCTTTGTTAAGAACAAGTATGAACAATGTATCCCTTAGTCTACCTACCCTTCTTTTAAACTCCTTAAAAAAAAAAAAAATCACTATACTTACTTGTTGTGGTCAGCAAAGCCTTTAGACTCTGGGGTATCAGTTCTGAGCCCAAGATTTATGTTTTTACACGCTTAACAGCAGAGATTAAATCTTTCTGCAGGTAGGCACTGCTGTATGAAAGACTGGCATAATTTTCTGTATTTTCTTTCCTCCCAGTAACCAAAACAAAATTCCAGGTGAACCCACAGGAAATATACCTAAGTGATGGTCAATCAGCTCTCAGCAAGAGAAACATCTGATTCTGTACTTCTGATTAAAAAAACAAAACCAGCCTTTGCTTTTTTTTAAAAAAAAAAAACAAAACCAAACTTTGTCATACTCCAGCTGTTTTACTTGAATTTTCCACACTTGTTGGCGATTCAGCTTTTCTAGCATCTAGGATGCAAGCAAGTTAGTTTAGAGCACATTCTCCTAATGCAGAAAATGGCTTTAATACATAATGTTGCAAAAAAGTAAGCAAACCTACTACTTTCAAATGACATCTCGCTCTTTCTTCCTCATGATAGAGGAACTACATTTCAAACCAAGCAGTAGTCTTTAGCCATCTTCCCACTTCAAATCACTTTACACACACAAGGCACTTGAGCATTCCAGCTTATTACACGCCTAGCTCAGACACCAAGCCTTCATTCTCCTTCCTAACTCTCTTTTGTAAACTCAACACAAGTCCTGAAGCATCTTCTTTTCTGGAAAGTGCTTCTAGCACTCTAGCAGAGCCCCATCCTCCATTAAGTTACTCCCTTATGAATTAATTTCCATGCAGTAAATGAGAAAGAAATCTTAGCATTATTTCTTCACCAACAGAATAGCTGAAAAACTGATATTTTATTTCTCACTGTACACAGAGCTTGGATACAGGTCTTCAAAAAAAAAAATTTTCAACACCTTAAAAACACTCCTATTTGCTCATATTGCTCCTTTTCCCTACCTCTCAAAATAATCTAGCTTCTTCCAGGTAGGATATTACAGCCCTGTATTCACCCAGGTCTTTCCCGAGTTTGTGTCCTGTTTGACTGTTATGATAGCCTTAAATCAACTGTTTTTTTTTATCTAATAAATATCTCACTTCAGATATATGTTCTTACAGACATGTAAAAGAAAGTGTACCACACTGAAAGAATGCTTCTACAAAGCAAAAAAGCACCTGCATAACCCACCATCATTAAGTTCTATGATAATTACATATCAAAATTGTGACTCTTTAAATTAATTTTGGTTGACTATTTCAGAATACAGGAAGGAGTCTAGTTATTTTAAAAATACCAGATCTTTCATCCTTACAGCATAAAACAATTCATGCACAGCTGGTGTGTTGGTTCTCAGGTAAGACTCCGCCCCCTCACACATGCTGCTGAAATACACTTCAGAAGTTGCGGAGCAATTTGGATAAATATGGATCAGTGACAACAGTTAATCTCTCCCTAATTATACTACAAGAGACAAAGCAGCAACACAGCCAAAATACATGTAGCTCAGAATACTGTTAGCCATTTGTTTATCTTTTCCTTTGGAAAAGTAATGAAAGCAATTAATTTATTTCTGGTTTAAGATGAAATACATCTGTTTGCTGTAGCATTCTAGTGTCTTTGGACAACCATGAAATAATTTAAAACCTTTTAATCCTAATTCATCCCATGTTTTTCTAGACTCTGCAGTGTTAATAAAGACATAAAGGCTACATCCAACGACCATGTTAGTGCTCTTTGGAGCAAGTGACTTCTAGATGACACACATCGAGGAAATTAAACCACGACACTGGTTGCTCGCTATGACTACTGTTTTGCTTGCTGTCTCCCATATCGAGACCAAAAGGAGGCACGACAGAAAAACAGGCAAGACTGATCTCACTTGTGTAATATCTATTTGTTTCAACTGGCAATTTAGTTAGTTCTTCGTTATTCAGATTTGTATCACTCACAAAACAGGAATTGTTACCCCTTGCAGAACTCCATCAGGACCCTAAGCTGAAACAGGTTATCAAGAAAAATACCTAATTCAATCTTTATAGGTGCCCAAGCTACGGGAGCTGTAGTTATCGGAGAATGTCAAAGCTTACACCCTTCTAACACCACTCCCTCCTTCCCAGAACTCACTCTAGACACTTGGATACTATGCACAAAAATAACCAGCTGTCAAGCTGATAGAGCAAGGAAGGCCATCAAGTCCCAGAAACATACTGCAAACATCATTCATTCAATAGTCACATCAATATATCCAATAACTTAATAATAAAACCTGCCATAGTCATACCACTCACTTCTTAACAGCTCAAGATGAAAACATGTAAGACTGAAAACCTGACAGAGCACATCCAGATTATTCTGATATATTGAAAAAGTCATAACACCTTCTATAAGTGTATATGGAAATCATTATCTCAAAGTTTCAGACGATATTGAAACTTCAGTAATTTCACAATGTGCCAGCATACAAACAAGAAAAATGAGAAAAAGATTTTTTTACTCTGAAGAGAAGCAGTACTACGGTTTGAGATAGCCATTACAGAATGTTTTTTGGCCTGTTCTTTTTAGATTTGTGTGCTGAACACGGTGCCTCACAAGGACTTACAAGTAGATTTCAATGCTACAGACCCCATGCACGCTCCAAGCCTCAGGTCACATTAATTCTCCAGTTCTTTAACTCATCCGCAAAATATGACCCTTGAGAACCGTAAAAACAACACAGAATCGAGGAATACTGCAATCATTACCCTACACACACTGCAAATTCAAGTCTCTTTTGACAAATCACTTTCAAGACAACTCTGAAGAGTTACTTCAAGGGCTTAGCAGCCATGCCTGTTTCTTACCCTTAGCTTTGGTGAAAATCTCCCAGAAAAGATCCACTAACATGCTCCCTCCCCATTTCTGTATGATAAGCAAACTTTGTAACCAATAAGTTTGGAACATGCAAAGGAAGAAAACCTTGAAAAGACATTTTCACTCATATACACAACAGCAAATACATGTTTGACTTGAACCAAGTTCTTAAATTGATACGTATGGAAGTTATGCAAGGGAACTATATAAAAATCTGCTGAGGAAAATACTACGAAAGTTTCTTAGATGGATGGCTTCATAGGGATAGAACTGAGGGAGATCTTACTTCTGTGGAGTTTAATGAGAGAACGCCATCATATATTGAAAAGCAAGGGCCACTTTGCAGTCTTGCGCACAACAAACACATAGGTCCTTCTGATAAGTAGGAACTTTCACTCTTCTCATGAATATCCCCCAAAGGGGCAGCAGCTCCATGCTGAAATGTCAGAACAACAAAGTCTGGAGCATGTTATTAGAGAAGTACTCCAGTTAATCCTACCAAGTAATCTACCAGATGCTGGATATTCTCATCACTTTAGAAGATAAATTTATATGCTGCTAGACAGTCTTTGTTAATGAGTTTTATTTATGAAAGAGAAGAATCATAAGTATTTCAGCAGATGACTAAACAAATTTTACTACATTTGAGTCTGTGCATGAAATACCAGTGTTAGCTAATACCTACAAACTCACAATTTAATGGCATAATCCACAGCCATGTAAGTGTTCAGATCAGCGCCTATTTTAAACTACAAGAAAGCTAATACAGAAGTATCAAAATAACACTAGTGACAAAAGCCAGCCTACTAAAAAGATTAAGGCAGCTAACACTGTTCCTACAATGAATGTGATTGTGTTATCAAATACAAAGACCACAACAAAAATTCATGATAAATTTAAAACTGGAATATTCCACTACTTTTATCTGTCAGAGTAAATGACGGTGTTTCTTACCATGAACACACTTACTATAGTAGTAATTGCTAATAAACTTTTTCACACTTCGTCAACAGAGACAGATCGTACAATGCTGAGGTTACAACCATTATCCACTTCAAATTTGTTTTTGCTGGACTATCTTGAATGTTTTAAAAAGCAGTATCTAAAAAGCCTTATTTATCAGGCACTCCTGATTCCCTTACAGGTCTGGCAGAATTAGTGTGGCATCTTACCAGAGTGTTCAAGACAGTGATACGTACAACTATCAAAATGCTTATCACGTGTAAGCCAGTTTATATTGAAACATAATGAGACAGTACGTTGAACAAGGCAATCACAGTCACTGCAAAAAAATCATAGCCTTCCAATTAAAGATAATAACCATCTCATAAGCTC